GGTCCAAACTAGAAAAAAATAATAATGATAAAATAACAACTTAAGAACCAAATTAACATTTTAAAGTCATTTTCATAAACTGAAAGGATGGGCACAAATACCTTCTCTGGAAGGATTTTTTTGAGATGCTGAACTATGATCCAGGTCTGAGTCTGAATCAACATGCTGTTTAGGTGTTACCCCTGATGTTGCATTAACAGTTTGCTGTGGTATGGTTGGTGTTCCAGCATTGATTTCTTGTCTGAGTGCATTGGAGTCTGGCTTAGGATTCCAAGGGCTAGGCAAATGAGGTTGATTTTTATGGAAGAACCTTTAAAAAAAACGACAACATGAGATATTGAGGAATTACTTGTGAGAGAAAAGGGAATAAATTAGAAAATCAGACCTGTTGATTGCTTCTTGGGCTTTAGACTCTAATTCAGGATCAACTGCCTCCTCATACTGATGAGATGGAAATTCCTCTATATCAGCAGGGTAGATGCGAGATATGTCTTCAATGGTCCATCGAAATGTAGGGCTGTCCTGTTATGAGAATGAATGCTAAATTGAAAATAGGGACAGGCTAATGGGCTCTAGTGTTCAACATTTTACAGGTACTTACCTGATTGGGGCTTACAACTCTGGCAAATACTGAAGGGCTATACATGGGAAAAGGTAGGCGGTCCGCAATACCAACATCAAATGGGTTGGTAACTACTATACTTTTAGTACGAGAGGGAGGTGTTCTGTGTACATGCTTCAAGGAGCCTGATGGTGGACAGGCATAATATTTCGATTTACACTGTGATTTCACATCAGGGGTGGCATTCTCCTCCAAGACATGACTTCCAGCATCAGGGGGTGTGAGCTGCTGGCGCGGATGGTTTTCAGGAGACAACCCGATCGCTTCATTCTTCACTGAAACGGGAGACGATAGAATAGGCGCCAAGTTGCCATTATGCTTTAATTTCTCAACCGGCGAGGTTAAAACACACTCATTTCCTAGCATTGTATCTCCCAGGTTAGACGGCTGCAGCCACAACAACTAACACAGGGTCATAAAATTTAATTGCTTTTTTTAAAGCATATATACTTGGAGCTATCTGACGGTACCTGCCGTAGACTAAACTGCCCCAGCTTCCTTTTTAGTAACACATTACACAGTTATACCCCCCTTACACTAAATTTTGACTAAAATGCCCCTACAACCCCTAAAATAATTTCAAACTTCTGTTTTCAAACTGGGTAAACTAAAGCCACCAACGGGATTGATGCGAGTTGCGAACTGTCTGGGAACCTACAAGGCGCTGACTCGAACTCTATGAGAATTTCAGCGAGCGGCCCGCTGAATTTGAACCGGTGCGGCGGTGCGGCGCTCTGATTACGAAGGAAGCATCCAGCACGTGCGAAGTAACGCTCGTTAGTTACAAGAAGATTCTACTGTACCCAACTTGAATGAAAACAAAAACAATAAACTACCGGGAGCCTAGGCTGCAAAGTTGTAACATGTTCCGAATGCGACATGAAACGATCACAGTTCAGAACACGTCAATAATTCTTTTCTTCGTGTTATCACTGCTCTAGCTCACGCGCATTAGGCCACCTGACTGCTTTGAGTACGACGGACGGGCTGCGGGCTGCATGCAACGCCGGTGACGCCCCGCGCCGCTGCGTCCCTTTCGCGCTGACCACAAAGTAGGAACCAGGTACCGGTATGTCAAGTCCAGCAGACGACGCGGCGGCGGGTGGCGGGCACTGGCACTGCCGGCGCCGCCCCGCGCGGGCCGAGCGGAGAAACTCTGCCGAGGCGAAGGTGGCCGCCAGGCAAAGGCACTCGCCGTCTGAACGCGGCGGATGCGTCAGGTACCCGCGACTCGGGCGTAGGTTTGCCGCGCGAGGAAAACGCGACGCTGTTGCTTATTCGGTCTCCGACGGGTGTGTCGCCGACTTACTGCATACGTCAGGGAGCAGATCAGCAGTCATCAGACGAACGTCTTGAGCCCTGCCGACCGGTCGTGTGGCGGCAGCAGCAGCAGCAGCAGGTGGTGTCACTGCCCCGGAGGGATCTGCCAAACAATCGGTAAGCACAAGTGTCAGAGGTGTTGAGTACGTATTGTACAATGTGTTAGTTTTGCTAAATCCACCTGCGTGCTGAAAAATTCCGTAGCGCTTGCCTCGTTTGACATTAAATGTCGGGCGGCCTTGAGACAGTTCCATTTTGAATGCGCTTAGATAGGAAATGGATTAAATTGGGAGATACACGGGGCCCGCGCCAAGCTGAAACAGGTTCCGTGCTCCGCTTGTAAAAGTGTTGCGGCCCGCGACCCGCCGCCGCGACCGCTATGGCTGCACCCCCACGGCCCCGCGCCCCCGCCACGCCCTATACAGCCTCTGCAGCCCTCCAAGGTTAAGGCCGGGTTTGTTGTGGTCTGTTTAATCGGCCTGAGACGTGTCGATGGCGGGTGCGATTACACCTGGCTCGGACGTTTCCTCGAATTTGTTAGAAACTGTACTCTCATCTCACGGCCGCCGCGCAAGTCATTCTCGATTTTAAGGAAAAAAAAAAAGATTAAAAAGGGACGTGGGGAGGGGTATTTTAGTGCTAATATCTTCACCTTCACCTAGGCCTCACCTGATGTCACTGTATCTTCCTCGGTTCCAGCTCTAGCCACCATGTCGTGCTGCTGCAGAGCGGGAGGCGCCTTCCTGCTCCGGGCGACCATCTTGATCGGCCTCGCCTCCGTCGTCACCACCATCATCTACTTCACGCCCGTGCCAAGTAAGTATGCGAATGCGAGAGGTTCGCCGCGGGTTCGAAAATGATCGTTATGCCGCTCTGCCTTCTGCCTCATCAATTTCCCTTTCGTGGCTCGGCGCGAGCGCTGAGAGGCACGACCGAGGGGTTCTTCACTCAAAAACCATCAGCGCACACCCTTAAAAAAATCAAGAAAAAACGATTTTTTAAAAAGAAAAGTCAGAAAAATCACAAATTAAGAGAATAAAAAAAAACGAGAAAAAACAGAAAAATCGGAGTACGCTTGAATTTACAGTGAAGTAGTTATATACCCCCGGGCGAAACGGCTGGCCGCGGAAGCACACGACAATGAGCGCGGACCGCCTCGGGCTGCTGCTACTGGAGCGGGTCCTGGAGCTGCTGGCGCCGCTGGGGCCGCTGGCGAAGGGCCGCAGTGAAAGCGCATTGTGCAGCACGTACCGTCCTGCTTTAGCTTTGGCCTCGCTTTGTCGCCGGCGCCTCTCGCTATATCGCGCACACGGCCTGGCGGGCCGTGAGTACCGGTGTCGAAATTTACAGTACACTGCGGTACGTTGCCATGAAACAAATGTATATATATATTTACGCTGGGACAATATTCCTGAAGTAGTCACAGTTGGATGTGTCCACTCCCATTTTTGTATGTATACCAGTGGGTGATTAAGCCAGCGTGCTTTCGAAGATCCGCTTTGGTGTCTCAGTCCTTACATGAAGGCGGGTTGCCTACTCGCTCGGTCTCAAAGGCGCCATGGTCAGGGGTGATTTGCAAACCCGCCCGAACTTGTGCGTGCGGTACAGTGTATAACTCTAGAAATGTGCGGGGTTAATCAGCCACTAGGTGTAATGGGTAGGGAAAAGGCAATGTCCCCTCGAAATTGTGGAGAATATTCCCAGACACTAAAACATTTTCGGAAGAAATGGAAAACTTCATCCATGCCGGTACAGACCTTTTAGTTTGTCAGGTATTGGACAGGTGTGTGGTGCCTGGGCGGGTACCACCAGGCGTGTAAGTACCTAAACACCTCGACCGCGCCGCCGGCGCTGTTGCCTCCCTGCTGGAGCTGGAGGTTATGATAGATGACTCAGCAGAGTCGGCCAGGCCCTTAGCCGAGTCTTGAGGGGAGAAAGTGTCCGGCAGTGACGAGGGACGTTCGGATCGTCTTCCAGAACGACGTCTGCCGCCCGTCGGGAGGTGGTAACGACGCGGGCAGGCCATGGCCCCCTACTAGTTGGCAACTTTCATACAAAGGAGTTTTTGCTTCACAAAAATAGAAGTTAGCTAATGTATTTGCTAATTTAACTAGTTCTGTTTTTCCGTGTATAACGGAATATTTATTTGAAATTATTTGGAAACATTTTCTTTGATTTATCAGTACTCTATAAATCACCTGAAAAATTTCCTTTGTTTATCTAAATTAGTTTTGCATTTGGATTTCCCTCGGGATTTCCCCTGTGAATGCCGTTTATCTGGATGGGAAGTCATCGTGCCGCCCGTGGCCGATGAGAGTCTGATTGAGCTGGAAACTACGGCAGTCGTTCTTATCACTGCCTCCATCGGCATGCACGTGTGGCCGGCGTACGCCCTGGCGGTGGCGCTGGCCGCGCTGGCCGGAGCGTTGGCCGGCGGGGACGACGCGCTCTGCCCGGGGCCTCCGGCTCGCCCGATGAGACATCATCCAAAATTCCGTGCTGAAAACAAAAACTGAGCCGCTGCGGCTTCACTCCCCGCCCGCCCGCCGGCCGCCACTATCGCTCCCGCGGCAGCTCCACGGTGTCTGGGTCGGCCTGCGCGGGCCCGGTGGTGGCCGCGGGGAGGTCGCCTCCGGGCCGCACGGCTGTCTCTCTCCCTCCGCCACGCGCTCTGCGCGAAAGACGGGGACAGAAACTGGCTCGCGAGTTTGGCGACCGCGACTCCGTATACTCGTACGCCACCGCCCTCGGGCTGCGCGGGCTGCCGCGGGCCGTGCGGGGTTCGCCGCGCTCGGTTTACATTTTGCGCGACATGCGTCAGCAAACACTAGCCCCGCCCCGCCTCGTCCCGCCACGCCACGCCCGGATATGTGAGGGCCAGATGCGTCGGCCGCGGGGCGGTAGGCAGCAGGGCGCCTCGGCGGCGACCGCGGCCTCTCATGGACTACTCGAGCACCCCGAGTACGTCGTAATCCGCGCCAGCGCCGCTCGCACACAAGTGCCCGGCGCCCGCTCGACGGGTCTGTTTAGAGACCACAATCTTTTCGAACCACGGTTTACCGTTCTGATGATAACTGGGCTTTGTCTGGTACCGAGAGACCACAAATCCACCTAGTGGCCTTCTGCCAAAACAAAGCCATGGCCGCGCTCCGTGCTCTGCTTCTGCTTCGTTTAGGGACTGCGACGACTGCACTTCGCTACGTCACTAAGCGGACTTCCTCTTGTTCTTCCTACTGAGAAAGCTTGTCTATTTCTCGCTGTCGTTAACCTGCTCGCCGCAGACGGGGAGACACAATTAGATGCATATCTTGTCGTTGATGTTGTTGTTTGACGCGCGAGCGATTTGAGAGGAGGAAGTGCGGAGTGCGGTTTTGCAATCGCAAGTCACCCCGCCCCGTCCCATCCCGTTGCGGCCTGCCTCGCCACCCCGCCCCGGCCTTCCCCTCGCCGCTCAGTACGACACCAGGAGCGCGGGGCGGGGCGGGGTGGGGGCATGACTGTCCGCACCGCGCTTGCGGCCCGTGATGCAATCCTGTGCCTTCCGACACCCTCCGGACGGGACGCCTCCGGGTGCCTCCGGGCGCCCCCGCACCTCCAGGGGCCCGGGCCGTGCTGGCCGTGCAGCGCGTGGACCCCCAGAGACCCCCGCATCGGGAGCCGCGGCGCGTGGTGGGGGCGCGGTGAGGTAACCGCGAGCAACAGCCCCGGCCCGGCCCGCGCCGCAGCCCCAACACCAGTCCAGTTGACACTCGCGCCAAACACCCGCCCGCCGAGCCCCCGACCAGTCCGCGCTCCAGCCCGAGACGAACACCGTTGTCGTCGACCACCGTGCCCCTCCTGGTCCGGCCCCCACCGACGGCCGCGACACCCGGGCCGCGTGCGACGCAGATGTGGCAGTGCGTGGAGTACTTGTTGTCCGTGGGCTTCGCGGTGCACCTGCTCGTGTACGGGCTGGGACGCTCCTGCCCCCGCGCCGCCCGCGCCCCCGCCGCCCCCAGTGGCCTGCCGCCCGCGCCGGCACTGCTGGCCGCCCCCGCGGCCTGAAGCAGGTCCCCCAGCGCGCCCCCGTGTTCCCGTGTTGGGATGGTGCCCCGGGCCCTGGTGGGCGCGAGTGGGCGTGGTGAGGGCGGCCCCGTGGAGCTGTGCCGCTGCCGGGTACACGGCGCCGAGGTGCGAGGCCGGCGCTGGGCGCGCTGGGCGCCTTTTTCGTGCCTCCTGGTCCTCGTGCTGTTTGTGTTGTGGTGCACGCCCCTGCCACGTGAGTACCCGTCTCCCGAAGCTGGTCTGGTGCTAGGCGCTAGACTAGAGACTGATAACGTTTCCGTGATGTGAATGAATTCCCAAACAGTTGAACTTAGGCATTTTACCCCAACATTTCAAAACCTCCACAAGAAAAAAAACTAAGCACGTTTGAAATGTTTTGTTGTCGAGAAATGTCCACTTATTTGCCCAATCCCGTTGCAGACCCGTACTACGCCTCGTGCGACCGGCCGTGCCACGAGCTGGACTCGCCCATGATCTGCCGCTACAAGCTGAGCCTGGAGCAGTACGAGACGCTGGGGCCGGCGTGCGGCCAGTGCCCGGCCAACCGCAGCCACTGCGACGCGGCGCAGTGCGTGCCCGGGGACATGACGCGCCGCGCCGTGCTCACGGCCAACCGCATGCTGCCGGGGCCGGCGCTGCGCGTCTGCGAGAACGACATCGTGGTGGTGGACGTGCTGAACCGCGCGCCAGGCCAGGCGCTGGCCGTGCACTGGGGCGGCCAGAGCCCGCGCGAGTTCCCCTGGATGGACGGCGCGCCGCAGGTCACGCAGTGCCCCATCAACACGCACACCGTCTTCCAGTACAAGTTCCGCGCCTCGGCCGCCGGCACGCACCTGTGGGCCGCGACGGGCTCGCCGCAGGCCGAGGCCGTGTTCGGGCCGCTCGTCGTGCGCCAGGCGGACGCGCGCGACCCGCACCGCCAGCTCTACGACGAGGACGTGCACCTGCTGACCGTGTCCGCCTTCGGCGGCTCCCTGCTGGTCAACGGGCGCGCCGAGCAGCAGGTCAGCCACCCGCGGATACAGAAATACATAACGAGTGTCTCTGTTCCATGCCATTCCGACCGGACGAGACGGTATTAATGACCATGGTTGTGCTTCAGGCGAGCGCGCCGCTGGTCCGCGGCCGACGCTACCGACTGCGCCTGCTGCACGGCGGGGGCACTCCAGAGGTCGCGGGGCGGCCAGCGCCCGGCCCGCTCCCAGGCCCGGTCACCGTCTCCGTGTCGGGCCTTGCGCTGCTCGTGGTCGCCGTCGACGGGCACGCCGTCCGCCCGCGCAGCACCCGCGCGCTCACGCTGTGGCCCGGGGAGCGCGTCGACGCGGTGCTGAGCGCGGACCAGCCGCCCGCCGCCGCCGCGGCCGCGTACCGCCTCGTGGTGCAGAGCGTCGGCGGCGGGCTCACCGAGGCCACCATCGACCTTCCGTTTAAGGAGCAGGAGAAGAGACAGAGGCGAGCTCAGGTACATGACTTGTGTCTACACTTCCTTCACTAGGCTGAACCAGGCTGTACCGCACGGCACGCGTGCGTGCGGGATGCCTACCCCCGGGCCGTAAGGCGCCAAGGTCGGGACGATGGGCGTTGGGCAAGCCGCCCCATACCGCACAGCCTAGCTGCGTATGCGGATTGGGCGACTTGAATTAGCTTACTGGGATTCGACTGTCGGCGTACTTTAAACTTCAATTTGCCTTCCAGTACCCTTCCACCCCCGCCCCTGAGCTGGCCGACGTGGAGGTGGTCGACTCGCTGGAGGCCACCGACTTGGAGGGCCTGGACGCGCTGCCGGAGGAGCTGTCGCAGGACGACGTGGACGTGCGCCTGTACCTGCCCTTCGACTTCCACCCCGTCGCCGGGCTGCGCGGCGACCTGAGCGGGCCGCAGCCGCCCGGCAAGCCCGGCTCGGGCCGGCCGCCGCTCAGCCCCGCGGACCTGCCGTGGCCGCGCGCCGTGCCGCGCATGTGCAACATCTCGCTGGCGCTGCCCGCCTCGCCGCTCCTCACGCAGCCCCGCGACGCCGAGAGGTACGACGGCGAGGGCGGCGCGGCCGTGTGCCGCGGGGACCGGCGGCCGGCCGCCTGCCCGTCGCACCTGCACGGCCAGGCCGACCACTCGTGCGAGTGCGCGCACGTCATCCGGGTGCCGCTCGGCAGCTCCGTCGAGCTGGTGCTCGCCGACCAGGGTGGCGACGGCGGTCGCGCGCACGTCTTCCGTCTGCACGGCCACAGCTTCTGGGTGGTGGGGCGCGGCCACAAGCCCGCGGGGGCGCCCGGGGAGGAGCCCCAGCGCGGCTCCTGGGAGGCGCTGGCCGCGGCCGACCGCCAGGGCAGGCTCCTGCGGCGCCACCTGCTCCGCCCAGTGCGCAAGGACGTCGCCAGCGTGCCCGCGCACGGGGCCTGCGCGCTCAGGTTCATCGCAGACAACCCTGGTGCGTACAGCGCCCCATCGTCACGGTCGAGTAACGTATTATGACGAAAACAAAGCAGGACTAATTGTCAAAAAACTGTCTTGTTCTAGGGTACTGGCTGCTTCGCGAACAGTCCTTCTATCGGTCGTCGTCCGGGCTGGGCGTCATCCTGCAGGTCGGGGAGGAGAGCGATCTACCCCCCATCCCAAGCGACTTCCCCAAGTGCGGCAGCTTCATCGGACCCGAATTCTTCCTCATGTGATCCGTCGAATCACAGTTTAATTTATTAGTTGGCAACAGATGTTGAACGAGCATTTGAATCGATGTTATCGAAATTTAACTATTTTCGTTTTGCTCAAAGGGGAGGCCATGATCAGTATTATCTGTGATTAAGGTAACATTAGTAAAGTAATGTTACATTGTAGTTTACAAATTAAGTGAGTATGGCCCAGTGATGGTTTTAGAAGCAGTTTTTTTTCTGTGCAGTGTGTTGTGTATTTACCTTTTGTGATAGTAATGTTATTGTAATAATAATGATATACGGAGAAAATACCCCGCGCCGGTTGATTGGGACGTGGCGCCGGGAGGGGGCGCCACAAAGGGGAGGCAAGGAGGCGCACAACACGACGCGCACCGCGAGGGTCGAGGGGTATCGCGGTGACTACCCCCTGCTGTGCGTGAGCACCGCGACTCCACGCACCCGTCTACCCCGTGGTGCCAGCTACACACGACAACGGCAGTGCAGCTACCCTCGATCTCTGATGTCAAACAAATCGAATAGCATTGGTGTAAATTTTATTGGGTTGATTGAAAATGGTTCCCGGAGCAAAATTAAGGCGCGATTGCAATATGGCGAGAGATTTCACTGCTTGGAAAACACTTTGAAAAAGGTCAACATACTGACACTGGAAAGAAGCGAGGGACAAAAGGGACAAATATGAGGAAAGGGTCGGAAGAGAGAGGGGAGAGACGAGAGACTGAAGAAAGAGGAAGGGGGAAAGGGTGGGGAGGGTGTAGCGGCATCATAATACAGTGTGGGCGGGACCCTCCATCAAGTTGAGGACCTCAAAGGGTTCATTTGGCCCAAGTTTTTCGGTGCGTCGGGTCGGTACTGCGGCTGGTATGGCGGTTCAACACGCGAAGTGCCCCGAAGTGCCCCGGGCCCCACGGGTCGCCCCCATACCCCGCCGCTGCCGCCGCGGTCGGGTCGCCTTGCGGTCGGATTGTCAGAGGGAAGCAAGCGGTGCAGAGACTGGGCGACGGATCAAGCGGAGTGGAGTGTCGAGAATCCTCAGTAACCACATACACGGGGGAGCGGGGAGGGGGAGATAG